ACGTGTTTTATCACATATAAAACACTCCGCTACGCGCCGTGTTTTATATGTGATAAAACACTCCTACTCGTGCTTTAATATATATATATTGTGGCAAAATCAATCAATCAATCAATAAATAAATATAAGTCAACAGTCTAAGGATACGTTAAGAAACTGCGATTTATTGGACCGATTTGAGATTCGCATAAAATATGTGGCAAACGTCATCTGACGACAACATCAACTGACAATCAATTCGTCCTCTGTTTTCAGAGCAGGCTCATTAGGGTGCGCAATCTATGTTCGATTACTACAGCACGCATGTTCGACTGCTACTGCTACTGCTACCAAGTTCTCAACTCGCGTGTCTACAAAAAAATCCGTGCAAAGAGGAAAGCAATGAAAAATACCTTTAAAATTCCGCCAAAATGAAAAAAAACGGCCGGAAAAAATTGGTACAAGCTGAAAATTCCCCCCCTTATTTCCTTACCGTTCATTTGAATATCTTCTCCATTCTCATTGCGTCCTTCTTGATTTTTTCCTTCAGTTGTTTGGTCATTTAGTCTGTCTTCTGTTTCCTACACATTTCTTGCCCGTTCTTCCTGTTTCCATTCATCCGTTGTTTGCTCATCCACTTGTCCATCATCCACTTGCTCTCCATTCTCTTTCTCTCCATTCCCTTTCTCTCCGTTCACTTTCTGTTCATTCATTTTCCCTGCATTCACTTTCTGTTCAATCACTTCCCCTGCATCCACTTTCTGTCCCTTCACTTCCCCTGCATTCACTTTCTCTGCATTCACTTTCTCTGCATTCACTTCCCCTGCGTTCACTTTCTGTTCATTCACTTTCTGTTCATTCACTTCCCCTGCGTTCACTTTCTGTTCATTCACTTTCTGTTCATTCACTTTCTCTGCATTCACTTTCTCTGCATTCACTTTCTGTTCATCGTCACTTGCGTCATTGTCGTCATCCTCCTCCTCTCTGTCACCCAACTCGCTCTCTGCGGCACTTGCTTCCTTCAAGCTGTTGGAATCAGACGTCTGGGTATTTGATATATCTGATAAATGATTCTCCACTGTAGAGCCCTTCGCTGCATCAGCGTTTGCGCTCTGGTCGTTCTCCAAATCTTTATCTTCAAAATCCTCCTCGCTCTCATCCTTCAAAGAGACATCCACCACTGGTTTGGATGAGTCGTCTGATTGTTTGGTCGGAGTAGGTTTCAAGCTACCACTCTTGGCGAGCGACAACCACCTGGAGCGCAGCAGATCTTGAGCCTGTGATAAAAATGGTTAGATGTTAGCCTTTTAATTAAACTCCATTTTCAAACATAAATCTTCATTGACACAAAGTTAAAGCCTCGTTATGCCCGTACGCAAGCACTACTACACGCGTAAAAACGCTGAGCCCACTGTTTAACAGGATTGAACAATGTTTTGCTGCCTACGTTGTTCACACTTATCAACAACAATATTGTTGAGCCTGAATCGGGTGTAACAATGTTATTCAATATTGTTGACAACTGTGAACAATGTGGGCAGCAAAACATTGTTCAATCCTATTTCCATCAATATTGCAACAATCTGATCGTTTTTAGCCGGGTTAGAACAGAAAGGGAAAGACGCTGCCGATGATAATTTAATTTTTTAAACATTCATTCTTACTTACAGCTTTCATTTGTTGTGTAGTCGGTAGATCGTTCTTTGCACCAGAAGAACTTGACTCATCACTTTTGACCATTGTACCAGGTTGCGTCTTCCCAACACCTTGATTTACTTCCTTCATGTGAGCACCATTATCAGAAGTCTCGCTGTCTGAAGCATCTGACGAATCATTGTCCATTATAGACTTGTCATATTCGTTTGATGGACCTGCTTTTTTATCAACGTTCTCTCCCGTGGTACCTGGCTTCGTATCTGTGGCATCTTCACTTGATTCTTTCACGTTATGGACATTACTAGAGGTCTCGCTCTTTGATGTATCTGAAATATCGTTTTCCATTGTGGATTTACCTCCCGATAAATCCTCGTCATTTCCGTCCTCATCATTCTCCTCTGCGTCACCCAACTCGCTGTCTGAGGTACTTGGTTCCTTCACGCCGGCATCAGAAGTCTGAGTATTTGATATGCCTGACAAATGATTCACCATTGTGGAACCATTTGCTACACCAGCGCTCTGGTCAGTAGTCTCTTTTGGTTTACCACCTTGGCTTAATGTAGATTGCTTCATCATACCACCAACACCAGAAGTGCTGGTCTTAGGTAAACCCGACAGACCATACCCCAGTGCAGACTTGTCACTCTGCTCATTGTTTACATTGGTGTTTCCAGGTTGTATATCTGTTGTTCCTTGGCTGAACCTGGACACCGATTGCTTCATCGTATCGCCATTTTCAGAAATATCACTGTTTGTCGTAGACAAATCCCCATTCCCCTTTGCAAACTTGTCGCCATTTACCAAAACACTGTTTGAACTCAATTCAGAGTTTCCTGCTTTGTTCCCGAATGCAATATTTGTGCTAGCCTCGCTAACAGTATTAGCAGTTTTTGATTGAGACATAACTGGACCATCATTGGCCATTTCACCATCAGATTTAATCATATCACTGGTTGATTTTAATACAAGACTTCCAGATTGAGTTTTACCCAAACCATCACCAACCATTTGTGTTGGTTTTGCAAATTTGGCAATAGGATTTTTTCCTATGCCCTGGTATTGTACCAAATGATCTGACGGTTTGGCATAAGAGTTTTTAAACACTTCTTTGCCCTTATCGGTAGATTCATAGCTGGGGTTGCTAGCAGAGTCGCTCTCATCTGCTTGGTTCGTATTTTTGCCGCCATTGTTTTTTTTCGGTTCATCTTCGGAATTATTGCTTGAATTATCGTCGTCATCATCATCATCATTATCGGTATCATCATCATCATCATCATTGTCGTCTAAATAGTCATTCGTATCGTCTGATTTTTTACTAGCTTTCGTTGAATGTGGTGACTTGTTAAATTTAACTGTTTTGTGCTTATCCATTGAATTGTGCGTTTTACTCGAGTCTTCCAATTCATCTACAAGTTTAACTGTGGTTTAACACAAAAATTGAATTGTATGTAACTGTTAATATATCTAAAAAAATTCTTACAATGGAGCCACCTTAACAAACTTACCATCCTCAGTTCCCAAGCACTCGCTCTCGCACGGCCGAGTTTCCATACCCGGTCCCAGTCTACTACAATCTCGGCCACCATGAGCAGGGGATGGATGGGAACATGTACGGAATCTTTTCTGTATCCCCTTACCACACGTACCAACACATTTTGTCCATGATGACCACTTGCTGTACCCACCATGACGACGTAAATTCGCTCCTGTAAAACTACGTAAGATACAATATAATCAAGCGGAGAGATCAGGTCGTACAGGCAGTCAATTTGCAATAGGTAGATATGTTTGTGGTGTTACTCTGAGTGTGCATCATAGATATCTTATATACACTAGATAGCGCATCTCTTTTAGTAAAATCATGGATAATAAAATAAATGGATATGAAACTAGCTGACGTGACCTAATGTTTTTACTGGGATTGATGGCGTGGTTGGATGCCTCAACCTAGTTGAAAATCAAATTCTCAAAAACGGCATGTTTAGCAATAATAC